TAAAGCTTATGTTTATACTGTAAAATACCAATCGAAATATTGTAAAATTATTATCAAATAAATAAATAAATAAATAAATAATAAAATAAATAAGCGCGTCGTTTGCTTGAAAATGAACAGCATTGGGATGACGCTTTAGCAGAATCCTGTGTTAGTGATAATCCACGATGGTTACGCCATTTATTTGTAACATTACTCACATTTTGTAATTTGTCAGATGCTGTACAATTATGACATATTGGAAAAAATATAATTTGCAGAAGACTTTCTTCAGAATAAATCTCACAATGATGAAGGCGCAACTAATGATAATTAAACCGTGATCTTGCCATAAATCTGTGCTTATTAGTTCTTCAGGAAGACTTAACAGCAGTAGGCGGTAAATCACTCTGTGAATATGGTTTTTCAACACCAACTTCAGTCGGAGAGGTTACCAATAAAGAATATTCCGCAGAAATTGGTTACAACTCAATGGCTAAACTCAACTGCTGGCAACATTAGAAAACGGTGTCCCAATAATGACTGTAGAACAACGTTCAGTCTATGATCGCGTGTGCGAGAGTGTTCAGAATAATTTGGGAACAATATGGTTTTTAGGTGCACCTGGAGGAACTGGGAAAACCTTTTTGACTAAATTAATATTAGCTTATGTTCGAAATCAGCGTAAAATTGCTCTTGCCGTGGCTTCATCAGGTATAGCTGCAACATTGCTACCAGGAGGTAAAACTGCTCACACTATGTTTAAAATACCAATTGATTTAGATCGCACGGAAAGTCCAACCAGTAGTATTTCAAGAAATAGCGACAAAGCTAAGATATTACGTGAGTGTAATTTAATCATTAAATTATTAAAGATTGGTGAAGGTACCTATCCACAACAACACCAAGGAAAACTTATTCTGACGCCTATATTATATTGTATAGTGCAATCCCAACCACATCTTATATCGTCGGTTTATGGTGACGTAACAATTATATTAAATAGGGACAATTCTTGGCTATGTGAAAGATCCATTTTAACTCCTCGCAATGACCAGGCTTCTGAGTTTAATAACAAAATACTGTCGAATATACAGGGAGAAAGCAAAGTTTATAGTTCAATAAATAGAATGGTCGATTAACAAGAAGCCACTAATTACCCGATAGAATTTTTAAATTCTTTAAATATGCCCGGACTTCCTTCTCATGAAATTTGTTTAAAAGTTGGCATTCCGATTATTCTGCTCTGAAATTTAAGACCACCACAACTTTGCAATGGAACTCGGCCAAAAGTAACCCAGTTGCAACAAAATATAATCAAGGCTCAAATTTTAACCGGTTGCGGTGCAGGAGATATCGTCTTTATTCCCAGAATTTCCATATTACCAAATAATTTTCCATTCCAATTTAAAAGAACGCAATTCCCAGTATCAGTGTGTTATGCAATGACAATTAATAAGGCTAAAGGGCAGACTTTTCGTGTTGCTGGAGTAGATCTCGGTGTCAGTTGTTTCTCGCACGGTCAGTTCTACGTTGCTCTTTCCCGGGTTAGCTGTTCTAGAAATCTTTATGTTCACGTGCCGGACGGGTCAACATAGTTTACCCGGAAGCTTTGCGCTGAAGTATTTTTGTTCTATAAGTACTTAAGCCTAATGTGAACCTAAACAATATTACCAATATATTAACTTAACAACACACAAGGAGTTACACTCCATCCAAAGCCCAGCGACACTATAACACATATAGGAATGACGTCTTAGCAAAAGTTGTTTAGTCTGATGGGAATTTCCTGTTGACTTACAAAAATGAAAGACCTAGAACGTCTCGAATCGTCTCGCGAATCACGTTATTTTCCCGTCCCCGGGCTCTTAGAATTCAATATTAGACGTTTCAGATCTTCGATTTTGACAACCCCGTTGTCGCTGGCGTAAGCAACAGGATCCGCGTACGAAGTCGCGGGCAGAAGCTAGTGTTAAATAAATCATTTGCCATGAAATCTTTTGAAGTGCTCTTTTTAGTAAACCCTACAAAACGATATTTTTAACCCATAGATGTAACAAATAAACATAATAAAATGTAAAATAATTTTTAATTTAGGTAAAAATATTATATTAAAAAAACTCTTAAATAATAAATACTCCTGATACTCTGCAGTCTGCATTGTTTTTTCGATTGACCTGTTTATTCAGATCATTCGGGATTCGGTCGTTTTCCGGCTCATTCACCATTCACACCATGTACATGTACAAAAAAGGCACGTAAAAACTTTCTAGTAGGCCGCCAACGCACCTGCAATTCCCCTGGTGTTGCAGTTGTTCATGGGCGGCTGTAGTTACTTAAGATCGGGTGAACCACATGCACGTTTGTCCCCTCTCCTATGTTAGAAAAAAACTTAATTTAAAGAACCGCGTTTCGGACATACTGTTATCGACTTTAGATGAGATTAAGGTGTCGTCACCACAAGACCTACTATCGACCTGCATCATCCACCTATGCTATGTAACATTCCGATTAATATTGCTATTAGTGCTAAATACTGCGTATCTAAGAATAAATTGAATTTTTGTAAGGTTGATTACGCATTGCGGCTATTTAGCAAGTATCTTGATCCACGTTGGTTTGGCGTAGTGAATTTAACCGTTATGAGTGCCTAGACGATCTTTTTGATAAATTCTATACCAATATTCGTACTTCAATTAAAAAACTTGTTCCTTTCGTATGTATAATAAGTCGCGCTACCCCTACTGGTTTTCCGCAGCTAATAAAAAGTTAAAGTAAATAAAAAAACTGGCCAAGAACGTGTCGGGCCACGCTCAGTGTAGGGTTCCGTAGTTTCCCGTACGTCACAATAAGTGTTCCCACTTATGAGTTTAAAGGTGGGTATCCATTATGTTCGCGCTCCAGCAGCACTTCGCGCTCCTGCAACAGCTCCCAGTAGTGGGTACTATTGTTTCCATCCAAGTTCAAAATTATTTTCCTAGAAAGTCCTTATAAAGTTCTACTTTTCAGATTTTTTTCATATTTTCTAAACTTATGGTTCAAAAGTTAGAGGGGGGACACATTGTTTTTTACTTTTGGAGCGATTATTTCCGAAATTATTGACATTATCCAAAAATGGTTTTAGTAAACCCCTATTCATTTTTAAATACCTTTCCAACAATATATCACACGTTAGGGTTGAAATTAAAAAAAAAATCACTTCCCACTTTACATATGGGGGCTACTCTAATAAAACATTTTTTTTTTCAATTTTTATTTTACCACTTTGTCGGCGTGATTGATACACATATTGGTACCAAATTTCAGCTTTCTAGTGCTAACGGTCACAGAGATTAAGCGAGGACGGACAGACGGACAGACAGACATGGCGAAACTATAAGGGTTCCTAGTTGACTACGGAACCCTAAAAATACCGCATAAGAATACATTAAAAATACAGGAATCCTACGAATGCAGTAACATTGGACCTCTTAAAGGCTAGATGCGACAAAATGACTTTAGATTGTTATAATATATACACAAGTAGATTAGAATCAATAATTGCCGCAAACCCTAAGTATTTTGCAGCCATATAAAAGTTATAAGGGGTGGAATTAGCAATTACCCGAAAAGTATACCTTTAAATCCAACAATTCTGAAAACTTTGATGAGATCTATAATTTCTTTGCATCGCATTTTCCGAATATTTATATTAACACAGGAAAAAATAACAACACTAATGTTATCGATTACTCCATAACCAACTCAATTATAAGTAACATTGAAATCTCACAGGATCAGGTTGCTAGAGCTCTGAAAAGATTGGATGTTGCGAAAGGTACAGGAAATAACAATCTGTCTCCAATCTTCTTATTTAAACTGGCGGACGAGCTATTACTTCCTGTATCGATTATTTTAATAGGTTTCTGCATAGTGGCAATTTTCGTGCTACCTGGAAATAGCCTAGGATTTTTCCCGTAATAAGAATGGCAACAAAAGTAACTTTGTAAATTACAGATCAATAGCGATTTTGTCAGTCCCAGCGAAAATATTAGAAGCTATTATTGAAATAGAAATAGAAATAGAAATAGAACCTTTTTTATTCAATGTAGGTTATAAACAATACTTATTGAAAGTCAATTTTTTCATTTACAACTGGTTCGCAAAAAAACCTCTGTCCTGGGAAGAACCAGCAAGAAACCCAGCGGGACTATTTCTTTTTTCAAATAATAGCTTACAATCATGTTTACAATTAACAGCACAAGACAAATTAGAAATAGCTTGGTAGCGATCACCCTTCCCGGGGGGTTATTATCATCCATAAATTCTTTAATATTATGATAACCCTTTTTATACAAACTTAGTTTAATAAAAATTTTGAACTTTGTGTATGAAAAATTTTGTATACTTTCTGAGATTTTGTTGTAAAAGCGTATACATCGCCCCAAGAATGAATGACTGACTCGGTGGAGTCGAGTAACTGGCACCACTAGCTTTTGTCTGTTCCTAGTATTTACAGAATGAATATGACTTATTTTTGCATTACTTTTTTTATTTTTGCATTAAGGTTGTATTTGTCCTCATCCATCATAGCATATCCCACAATTAATCGGAAACAGGCAGCATGGCTTTCTGACGGGTAGGTTCACTGCCACAAACTTATTTACGTACTTAAACAACAATTAAAAAGGTAAATGAGTATCCTATTTCTGTCACTAATCAAAAGCGCATCCATTGCTATGTTTCGGTCTAAGTTAGTATCACTGATTGTGAAGCATTTCATCTTTGTCTATGACAAACGTATTACTTTCCATTACCGTCAGGTGGACTGACTGTAAACCCCTTTTTACATGAAATATATAAAAATTTGTGTATAATACACAGTTGATAGATTAAAATTTATTCTAGAAAAATTTTCGTCATTTCGACTAGTTAACAACGTCATCACATATTATGTGAGACTGTGATCATTACTAGGCCCACTTATTTAAAATAAAAATAATAATTTAGATGAAATGTCATCATCATACTCTTTGTTCTAGGTAATAATGCAAAAGCCAAGGAAATCCTGCAAATTCTAGGTAGAGTACAAGAGATGGATGTTATTTTAGCAAGTAAAGAAAATGAAACAAATAATTTCACGCAAGAATGGAAAAATCTTTTTACAGTGAAAAATAACAGAAAGGCTCTGTTTATTACAGCACCTTTGCAAATTTTGCAACAATCTAGTGGAATTTTAGCGGTGGTATTTTTTTCAACAAATATATTCATATTAGCAAGTTCATCCATAGCGCCGGATATAGCCACAATAATCATGGGTTTGACACAATTAGTTGGCAGCATAATCGCACCTTTGATTATTGAAAAATCTAGAAGAATTTTACTATTATTTTCAACCGCACTCTGCTCCTTTAGTTTAGTGAGTATTTGTGTCCATTATTTAAAATTAGTCATTTGATGATTTCTTAAGTTTACGCGAACACTACACATTGAATAAAACTAAATTTACGGATTTTATCGCGTTTATTTCACTACTTTTACTTATTTTTAATTCCCGACGTTTCGGGTGCTTTACAGCACCCATGGTCACGGGGGGACTGAGATGTTTGACGTCCCAATGTCATAGTTAGTCCGGCTACCTTCAGTTTTTGAATATTAATTTTTGGTCCGATTTACGCAAAACGAGCTTATAGTAGTATCATGAAGTCTTGCAGTGGTTTGCTTAGGTTTGGGTTTAATTTTGTTAGTTATAGGATCCCAAGCAGGTGGCAGCACCCATCCATCTTCTCTATTGAAATTTGGATGTTTTTTAAATTTCAATACCCTCGCGTATCATCCTTGGTAAGAATCGGTGTTCTTTTGCGAGGATTTGTGGTTTATCAAATCGAATGTAATGGTGGGGACGATCTTGAACATGTTCACAGACTGCAGACTTCCCGAAGCGTCGGTGCTTCACGTCAGCTATATGTTCTTTCACGCGGGTTTTTATGGATCTTTTTATTTGAGCTATGTAAGAGAGACCACATTCACAATCTAACTTGTACACTCCTGCATCTTGTAGAGGGATATTACACTTGACGGATGGTAAAAATTGACTAATCTTCTTCGGCGGCTTGTAGTATGTTTTAATGGAAGCTCGCTTCAAGATGTAGCCAACCTTGTCTGTGACTCCTCTGACATATGGTAGTAGAAACTGGGTAAATCTTTGTTTAACAAATTAAAAAACATCCAAATTTCAATAGAGAAGATGGATAGGTGCTGCCACCTGCTTGAGATCCTATGATAAACAAAATTAAACCCAAACCCAAGCATACCACTGCAAGACTTCATGATACTGTTACGCGCTCAAGTCGACGGCACTAGCGCCATCTAGTCTCGAACCGAAGAACTAAACTTCTTGAAGTTTAAAACTCGAACTCTCGGTACCTTGCGCGTGTTTACTTGAACATTCTGGATATTTCTTTGCTAATTTATATAAATAGGCGCTGCAAGATGCGATCGAGGCAGTATTGGATTTGGCGAGACAAGCGAAGCTTCGGAGCGGAATAAAGTGAATTAGTGTGTTTAATTATTAGTGTTTTAAGTTGTAATTTGTATAAAGTAAATTAAAGTGTTAATTTAGGTAATTTTATCGGCAATTTTTATTGTCACGAACCTCAAGCTCGTAACAATTGGTGTCAGAAGTGGGATAAAATCATGCCGATTTTACCTAAGGAGGAAACGGAGGGTGTCCGTACCCGAAGTCAACGCCAGCAGGAGACGGACCAACAAGATTTGGTGGTGTAACGCCGCAGACGTCGGAGGGCCAGCCACCGGCTGCAGGCCCGTCAGTAGCTCCTACATCTGCAGCACCTGACTAAGGTGCTCTGATGGTGATGCTGCAGGAGCAGGCTCGCCGACAGGAGGAGCAGGCTCGCCGACAGGAGGAGCAACCTTGCCGACAGGAGGAGCAGGCCCGTCAGTTGAAAGAGCAGCTGCAGAGCGGACAAGAGGAACAGGCCCGCCGACAGGAGGAATAGATGCTCATCATGAAGGACCTTCACGCTACCTTTGCGAAAGAGATGAGGGAGGTGAAGGATAGGGTTGCTCAACATGACAACCGCCTGTTGGAAGCTGAAACCCGAATCGAAGAACATGAAACCCGAATCAACCATGTGAACAATCGGGTTGACAACGTGATGGCTGACGTGAAGAAAACGCTGAACAACCTCAAACTTGGGGATGGAACTACAGCTCCCGTAGTAGCTACAGCGCCTTCGCTACGTGGATTCAAAGTGCCGCCGTTCGACGGGACTTCTTCCTGGTCGGCCTATAAAATCCAGTTCGAGGCCGTCATGGAGGCAAACGGCTGGAATAAAAGCCAGGCCATGACTGCACTCACCTTAGGCCTGCGCGACCAAGCCTTAACCGTGTTGGAAGCTCTCGGTAAGAAAGTGACCTACGAGCAGCTCCTTGAGGCATTGGAGGTGAGATATGGTGACGCTCACCTGGAACACGTCTTTCGCGCGCAGCTTAAAGATCGTGTGCAACGCAGCAACGAAAACCTGCAGCAGTGGGCCCTTGAGGTGGAGAAGATGGTTCGAAAAGCATACCAGTCTGTACCTGCGCTCATTGAAGGGAACCTGGTGCAGACATTCATCGACGGCATCCGCGACCTGGAGGTCAGAGCTGCTGTGAGGCTCGGGCACCACGAGACGCTTAAGGACGCCTTGGCCCATGCACTGGAGGTAGAAGCCGTGCGGCAGGATCATCGTTCCCATCGCGTCAGGGAGGTTGCAGCAGCTACAGTTCGCGACCGCAACAAAGGATACAGCCCTAGGTGCTATGGCTGTGGGGAAAAGGGCCATCTTCGATCCAGCTGCCCTAAGCGAAGCCTAGAAAGGGAAGGTGAACGATCCCAGGAGGGTAGTGCGGCCAACAGCACCGCCCAGCAGCTGCAGGGAAACGAGTAAAAGCCAGAACTGCGGGGCGGGTGCTGGCTGATGTTAAAAGAGCCCCAAGGATCTCGATCTCACAAACCCATGATGGGAACAGTCTAATCATCAAGGGCGAGGTCAACGGAATGCCGTGTAAACTGACCATAGACACTGGAGCCCTTTCGTACGGTTGTTAGTTCCCAACTTATAAGTCAGTTCCTTGGGGACTCCGCATACAACCGAGAACGCATTAATTTGGTAACAGCCACCGGTCAGCGTATACCCGTCCGTGGAGAGAAGGAGATGGAGTTAAAGCTTGGCAACGTAATCTACCTGTATAATGTCATCGTGGCTGATATAATGGACGACTGCATCCTAGGCCTAGACTTTATGAGGAATAATTGTTGTGAGATCGACGTTAAGCAAGGTGTTTTGAAATGTGGACAGGAGGAACTTTTTATGGAAGGTGCGTTACCAGGGAAGGTGTACAGCATTAAGAAGATTGTTCTTCCGCCGAGATCGGAAACGATTGTTCCGGTTAGTCTTCCCCGAAACGCTGGGCAAGCTCACCGTTGTGTACTTGTGGAAAGGGTAAACAATGACCTTCCATGGAAAGTAGCTCGAACCTTGGTCAGAACCACTGACATCTCAAGAATACGTGTGCTGAACCTTTGCGACCGGGAACAGATTATAGAAAAAGGCACACTGGTTGGCACTTGTGAGGAAGTGGATTGGTTACATCGGTGCCAATATATATCCAGTGGGACAGCTTGCTGCTTCAGGATGGAGTTCTGTGTCGTAAATGGGAAAATGTTCGGGGAGACATCTGTCATTTGCAAAACGTTGTCCCTAAAACTAAAGTACCGGATGTTCTACAGCTGTACCATAATGATTGTTCAGGAGGCCATCTGGGAGTTAAACGAACTCTACTGAAGATCCGAGAACGGTTTTACTGGGTCCACTGTCGAAACGATGTCGAGGACTGGTGTCGCAAATGTACAAGTTGTGCGGCTGTAAAGGGAACTCAGACTCGTAGTAGAGGTGCATTGAAGTTGTACAATGTTGGTGCACCATGGGAGAGAATAGCCATTGACGTGGCGGGGCCGTTTCCGGAGAGTGAAAGCGGTAACAAGTATTTCATGGTTGTGATGGATTAGTTCTCTAAGTGGCCAGAAGTTTTCGCCATTCCAAATCAAGTAGCTTCAACAGTTGCAGATAAACTAGTTCATGAAGTCTTCTGTCGTTTTGGAGTACCTTTAGAGATTCACAGCGATCAAGGAAGGAATTTTGAGTCTCAAATATTCCAGGAAACTTGCCGAGTTATGGGTACTCTTAAAACAAGAACGACTTCTTATCACCCGCAATCTGATGGAATGGTAGAACGATTTAATCAGACATTGGAGAGCTACCTAGCAAAAGTTGTAGACAATCGGCAACGAGATTGGGACAAGCACATACAACCGTTTTTGTTGTCATATCGAAGCCCTGTTCACGAAAGTACAGCAGTGACACCAGCTTTCGCAAACTTTGGAAGAGAATTACGGCTGCCTGCAAACCTGATCACCGGGATACCACCTGATGCTCCACGCAGTATAACCGATTATGCAAATGACTTGCGGAACAAAATGAATGACGTTTATGAGCACGTCAGACAATCGGGCCAGCAAATGTCTGAAAAGATGAAAACCCGGTACGACCGCAAAATGAACAACAAAGGGTTCGACGAACCCCCCTGAACGGGTTCCCGCCTTGTCGTGGCGGGGGGGCTTAGTAGCCGTGGCTTGGTCTCCCACGGTGAACAAAGAGGAACCCACGTGGCTGGCCCGAGGTGAAGGGCCGGCCTGAGGTGGCCGCTCCGAGTGGGCTTGGGGAGCCCACTTCGGATGTGTGCTGGTGGACTGCAGCGAGTGGGGACTCGCGCACCCTCTACCGCTGCAGCCGAGGTGGAGTCGCGGAGGAAGAGGAGTGTTGGTATGGCGATGCGCCACTCGCCCTATCCTTCGCGACTCAAACGGGGCCGCACCGTTGATGCGGTGGTGGTGGGGCTGCGGGGGGAGAGGATTGTCGGTATTGCGAGGCGCCGCTCTCCCTACCCTCCGCAGCCGAATCTTGGTTGGCGGCGGAGCCATAGACCAGATCCGCCGCTGGGGTCGGGAAGTCTAGTACTTCTAAGTGCTCGTTTTTCCTGGCCCCATGGCCTTTGTGCATCGGACGCGGGGGCGTCTGTTGCACAGACGTAGTTGGAGGCCGTGGAGGAAGGCGCGTCATGTGTTCTGGTGCGCCTTACCTGGGAAGGAGAACGGGGGAGGAATTTTCCGCTCCCGAGGAGGTGCTGCCATGGGGCGGCAGGCGCTGGTGGGGCCGCGGATGTGTGCGAAAGCGTCCCCGTAGCCCTGCCAATATGCGACAAAGATGGAACACCGTGGGGTTTTAGTCGGTGCGAGTCCGACATAACCCGTCCTTGCCCCCCGCGAGGCGGGTATGCGTAGGCATTTCCCCATGCAAAAAAAAAAAAAAAAAAAAGGGTTCGACGAAGGTTCACTTGTGTGGTTGCACAATCCAGTCCGCAGCAAATGGAAATCTCCTAAGCTTCAAGCTAAATGGGACGGCCCGTACCGGATTGTGACCAGGATCAACGATGTAACCTACCGGATACAGAAAGGCGCAAGAGGGACTCCTAATATCGTCCATATGGATCGCTTAGCGCGTTATTATGGGGCCGATAATGCTGGGGACGAGCATGTCTTAGGAGGGGGCAGTGTTACGCCCTCAAGTCGACGGCACTAGCGCCATCTAGTCTCGAACCGAATAACTAAACTTCTTGAAGTTTAAAACTCGAACTCTCGGTACCTTGCGCGTGTTTACTTGAACATTCTGGATATTTCTTTGCTAATTTATATAAATAGGCGCTGCAAAATGCGATCGAGGCAGTATTGGATTTGGCGAGACAAGCGAAGCTTCGGAGCGGAATAAAGTGAATTAGTGTATTTAATTATTAGTGTTTTAAGTTTTAATTTGTGTAAAGTAAATTAAAGTGTTAATTTAGGTAATTTTATCGGCAATTTTTAGTGTCACGAACCTCAAGCTCGTTACAATACTATAAGCTCGTTTTGCGTAAATCGGACCAAAAATTAATATTCAAAACTGAAGGTAGCCGGACTAACTACGACATTGGGACGTCAAACATCTCAGTCCCCCCCGTGACCATGGGTGCTGTAAAGCACCCGAAACGTCGGGAATTAAAAATAAGTAAAAGTAGTGAAATAAACGCGATAAAATCCGTAAATTTAGTTTTATTTAATTAGTCATTTGTTTGAAGACCTATATAAATATTGTTTTTAGGATCGTTTTTAGGGTAAAAAGTGTGCATTAAAATTAATATGTCATTCTTTTGTTGACAGGCGTTATTAGGTGCTTACTTTTACTTCGATGGCTTGGATTATGAGTTTGTTACAAAAATTCAATGGCTACCGTTAGCAACCCTTATTATGTACTTTATGGCGTATGATATGGGTAAGTTTTTTTTACTTAAAGCCAGTGATATTTTTTGCGCCCAAAGCAAATAAGGCAACCCTATAATAAAATAAGGGTAACGGGTAACGGGGGAGGGAGGTGAAGAATGCTCATAGCGTACCACGCAGCCGGCTGCTTTGTTATGTGGAGACTTTTACCCACTAAACTCCACCTTTTTGGGATTGACTTATCGATCTGACGAGAGATCTTTAAGCCACAAACGAACGCGACCCTCCTTGGCAGAAAGGAAGACGCAAAGCCAGTGATCGACTGCAATGCCAGTTGGTGGTTTTTTTTATAGAATAAAGGTGACAAACGAGCTGACAGTGCAGTTGAAAGTAAATGGATGCTGTAGCCCATAAACATCCACATTTATCCTCGATCAAGAAACAAAACGTAGATGCATTTTCATCCATGAGGACTAAGATGGAATGCCTTATTTCCAGTAAAAAAGGCTCTCCGGATCTCCAGTAAGCGGTAATAAAGCCTAAGATGGTAATTCACACTATTTCAGGGTAACAAAAGCTTGATAAATATTTGCTTGAAAAAATTAAGATAAATTGAAATATAGATGAAATTATAAGTACTTTTTCAACTTCTTTTTATTTATCGGCATTTAAACTCTGTGACTGCGCTGTCGTCGCGTTACAATCTAAATGAAACCGAAGCCTAAATCACGTCAATCACGAAACTTTAAACTTCTATCAACGAAACTTGGTGGAAAAATATGTTACATTACCGCTAATCATTGTATCATTCAATCTCTTGCTCGATAAAATTGATTCCATAGTAAAACAATTGGATGAGAAACCTAATCGATTCGAAGTGGATGAAAGGCTCATTCTGAGTTTTCAAACAGCTCGAGACAAAATGCTTAAACATTATAAAAAGAGCAACTGGATTTATTGTACCTCTTTAATTTTAGACCCAAGACATAAGCCTCAGACTTTTGACATAACATTATGGGGGAAGCAAATTAAAACAGAAAGGCTGCGCAAATTTAATGAACTTTATAAAGAACATAAAAGTCTACACTCAGTGAATACATCTCTAGAATCACCAAGAATTGAAAAGAAAGTATGTGAATATGATGAAGATGAAGACATAATAGACTTAGAGAAATTGTATGCATGTCCCTCGACGTCATCTGGATCTGGATCTTTTCATCAAGGCTTAGTTATAGACGAGTTGGAGGAGTACCTAAGTAAACCCAGAGCCGCCAGTTCGGAAGACATTTTAGAGTGGTGGAGGACGCATGAGACAGAATATCCGACTTTATCGAAGATGGCCCGTGATTTTCTTTCAATACCTGCAACTTCGGTACCTGCTGAGAGATTATTTTCTAAAGCATCATTAGTAATTAGAAAACATAGAAATAGGTTAAGTGATGAGTCAGCCAGATGGTTACTTTGTATTAATTCTTGGTCAAAAGAATTAATATAAAGTAACGTAATGTCAAAGCTGTTGTGTACTGTTAAGTAATTTAATTTGTATTGTATTTTATTTTTTTATTTAAATAAATGGTAAATTATATAACTCTTTTATTCCATTTTATATAAGGGTCTATCAATCGCTTTCTAGACAGATAATGTTCTTTATAATACAGTCAAGTTAATGTCATTAATTTGTTTTTTATATGTTTTGACTAAGTTTTAGCACATGTAAGCTTATTAAATGTAAAAGTTTATTCAGAAACAAACTAACTCCCTGGTAGTAGATTGAGCCGGATCGCTTAGGTCGTGGGTTCAAACCCCACTCGGTATTAGTTGATTTTTCGAATTTCTCATTAAATGTTTAGACATTTATTAATTTGGTTGGTCTTTCTATGGCTATTTTAATTCAAGCTCAAAATGTGCCCACTCTGTTAAGTTGTTCTAAGATCTAAAGTAACGTTTAATAAATAACAATAGGCTAATAGGTAATTACGAGACTTGCGAGACTCTTGCTCAACGACCAAGAACAAGGCTGAGAGCGCATACCAAGACCAAGAACAAGACCAGGTGTATTGGCGCAAGACCAAGACCAAGACTGGCTAAGTCTCGTCTTGTTCTTGCATTTGGGCAATACTAGTCTCCACCACGTGATGAACTAGAACAAATATGAGGTTGCCAACCTCTCTGCCAGGCATGAGAACTATGGCAAGTATCCCCCTACGAGGCAAAGTATACACGAGATTTATGTTAAACTGTGGATTTTGATAGGCTGTAATGATGATGATGATGATGATGACCCTTAAATATTAGGCTACTGTTGCTTTGATACTAAGTTAAGATTGACAAAACCTAAAAATGTTAAGCTTTAAACACTTTATAATCTGGGTCGAATTAAGCCATGTTGAAGACCCTACGAAAATAATGAAAATGCAAGAAAAAGGGGACTCTCTTCTAACTTTACAAAAGGTGTAAAATTAATTTATATGAAGGTGCGGAGCCTTTAATAGCTTTTATGACGCCCATCGACAGCTAGCAACCATTACCGTTAGGTTATAATAATATATAATATGATATATTATATAATTTATTATATATTGTTACAGTTATTACAGTTACAGCCTATATACGTCCCACTGCTGGGCACAGGCCTCCGCTCATTTCTGAGGGTTTTAGGGCAAGGAATTGTCCGCCGCGTTGCCTCAATGCATGTTGGCGAACTTCACATGTCTTCGAAATATTTTTTTTCTTATTTCTCTGACATGCAGGTTTCCTCACGTTGTTTTCCTTCACCGCCGAGCACGTGGTAAATCAGCACTTAAAATTGCAATTAACAATTTCATTGGTGCCGGCGGGGATCGAACCCGGTTTGCTCGCGTACTGTGAAATTTACAGCGAGCGCTAACCATCTGAGTTACCACGGCTCTCTATATATAATAATATATAATATATTATTATATATGAATTATATTAAGCCGTTTATAATATGTTAATAACAAGACGTTTCCGTTACAGTTTATTAACAGCCCATTGCAGAACATAGGCCTCCCTGTAAATTCCCTCACAGAGAGGATATTTGCCATAGTTTCTACGCTTGACAGATGAGTTGGCAACCGCAGTTTTTTATTGTTATTAGGATGAAGTTGCTACTCATCTCCTGGTTTATTTCCAGCTGTCGTCTCTTAAGAGATACACGGGACGATATGGGATAGTGGATATTCTAACACCACCATTACACAGTCAATGTGTATGACAATTTTAACATATTTTTTTACGTGGTAGAGCCATGTTGCAGCTATATTAATTGTATCTCTCACAGAATACCAGCGTCAAATAGCAGCTTATTGCTGTTGCTTTTCGTATGGTGAGATTAGAGAACCGGAAACCCTTTTTACTGGAAAAGAGGCATTCCATCTTAGTCTTCAAGGCTGACAACGCATCTGCATTTTGATTCGCAAACGAGGATAGATGTAGACGTCTATGGACCACACCTACCACTTACCATTAGGTGGACTGTGTGCTCGCTTGTCATCCTTTTCCTATAAAAAGAAATTTGTTTCAGGTTTCAGTGTTATCCCATCAACACTTGCCGGAGAAATGTTTCAACTGAATGTAAGAAATATAGGTACGACGTTTGTAATACTTTGTGGGTGGCTTTGCGGCTTCGGAGTTACCACTGCCTTTGGTTATATGGTTACTGAGCTTGGAGGCGATGTTACTTTTTGGATATTCTCTGGAACGTGTGCGATAGCATTCTTTTTCACGATCTTTTTCGTGCCTGAGACAAAGGGCAAAACATTGATGCAGATCCAAGAGATGTTCAGCGGAAGTCAAGGAAACAAAGAAACACAGTCTCCGAATATAAACACTGAAGTTGTACTGCAGGAATAAGCTCGGTGAGGTCCGTTTGAATAATGCGTCACAGCAAATGGAACAGAAATAAACAGTAGCACTAATAAAAATCTTAACATTTTGTGTCTGTTTTTACTTATTTATTGAATCAATATTTTATGTTTAAGGGGAAATATAATCTCAAATGGCTTAGCAAGATCCTTCGTTATGCCGAAAATATTGCAGCATTAATTTTGAAATAAATATATGGTAAAGTTGAGGATTAATGTTAAGGATTATGTTAGACGAAAACACGATTTCGTAAAATTTTCTCGATAGAAAAAAAAATCCAAATTTACCTCCAAAATAAACAATAAACCGCTTTTATTCATAAAATACTTTAAATAAGATCATGAAACTTTGCATACTAACTGGATTAACTATAAAGCAGTGCTTTTGTTATTTACTTTTTTAAAATACCATTATTTTCACTGTAAAAAGAAATTACCTAAACTATCGGCCTCTTGAAGCGTGGTTCCTGCCGCACAGTCACTCTCAGCTTCTCACTTCGCTTCGGCCTTTGAACGGGGAGGTTGTGTCGCTTACGATCAGAATATACATTACGCAACAGGACGACGTAAAATTAAAATGGAAATAACCGTAATAAAAATAAGAAGCGACTGGCATGGCGTTAAGAAACAGGCATAAATATGATAAACATAATGAAATAAGTGTCTAACGACCTTTCTACTTACAGTATTAGTGATTACTAACATGTCGGTACATACGACGCGCGGGCAAGTGGGAACGAAATTAGAATTTGAGCTGACTTACTCTATCCACTTAATATACTACCTTGTATTTATGCCATTAAATTTTGTAAGTACTATGGCATAGGCTATCAAAACATACTTTTAGACAACAACTCAAACGTCTGTCACTCATGACATGTTTAGTCTAAGATCTCATAAGAAAGCGTGCAGCGGGACAAGGTCCTCATTGTGCAAGTCAGTGCTAACCAACCAGGCCTTTATGATGATTGACAGGCCTTTTTATAGAATTAGGGTGACAAGCGAGCACACAGTCTTACTTAATAATGATAATAATAATAATTTCTTTATTTTCTTAAAACATGGTGTTTGAAGGTGGTACAGTAAAATAAGTTCACATGTTTTGCTTATAATTAGCATGCAAATTTAAGTTTATGTTCAGGTAATATTTATTTCAAAGGGGTCAAATATATTCATTAAAATCAATGTCAACAAATCAATAATTATTAAAGCCTAATGTCAATAAATTCTTCAATGTCATACACTTTAAGTTCAATAAGCCAGTTATAGAGTGTCGATTTGAATAAATTCATTTTGAGGTTTTTGATGTCATTGGGGATCTTATTATACACCTTAAGGTTGCCCTAGTCGCTAGCTCGAACTAAATGGTGGGCGGGGTTAAAATGCATGCTATCTCAGCCGACATAACGTGCGAAAAAGATAGACGCTGTGATGAGCAGTAAGAAGCTAGTGCGCACACACATACACACTCCTGAGTGACGCAAACCGACGGCGTCATCGCGTACCTACATATTGCGATTCTTTTTTGAATTACAACATAAACTCAGACCGCAATTGAAAGCTCCTTGTCGCAGTGGCTTAGCAATGAGACTGCGCTGGGGGCCGTGGTTTCGAATCCCGCACTGAACAAATATTTGTATGGCCTACAAATAGTTGTTCCGGGTCTGGATGTTTGTCCTTGTGCAATTTATGTTTGTAAACTGCCTCCACGATACTGGAGAAAATCCTACTGTGGGGTTAACGTATTTTAAAAAGAAAAGAGAGGGAAAAAAATTGGTGTTATTATTATGAACCCAATTTAGTTGTTATTATGAAAGTTCTTATGTGAATTTAAGTAGATGTTGTTATTATATAATAATTTCATTGATTTGTTTTTACCTACTTTTTAACCGACTTCGAAAAAAGGAGGCGGTTCTCAATTCGTTGTTTTTTGGTTATGTATGTTCTGTTCATGGGGGGTATATTGCCATAGTTGCCACGCTTGACGAGCGGGTTGGCAACCGCAGTTTTTTTTTGTCGTACAGTTGGACTTACCTAGTCCGACTAGGTAAGTCCAACTTCGAGCGACAGGTCAATCGACGGATTCAACTCGGCTGAGCAGCGTTCGGGAAATTACGACATATCTCCTCGTCAGGTATACCTCAATCTCTAAAAACTAGATTTTACAACCAGTGCGTGTTGCCAGTGATGACTTATGGAACTGAAACGTGGTCCTTCACTGTTGGCCGTATGAGGACGCTCAAGGTCGCTCAGCGAGCTATGAAGAGGCTATGCTCGGAGTTTCTCTGCGTGATAGACTCAGAAATGAGGTTATCCGCAGTAAAACCAGAGTGACCGACATAGCCCAACGGATTAGTAAGCTGAAGTGAAAATGGGCCGGCCATATAGCTCGAAAAACCGATAACCGATGGGGGAAGAAAGGTTCTCGAGTGGCAGCCTCGTACCGGTAGGCGTAGTGTAGGGCGACCCCCCACTAGATGGAGTGACGATCTGGCAAGATATATTTTATTGTAGGTTATGCAAACATTACTTTAGGTACTTTTTATTCTAAATAGGTATTTACTTACCATAGCTAGTTAGCTATAATAGCCCACAGGCCACAGGCAACTCCCCGAAGTATTTATATGCCAGCCAGTGTCAGGATAACTGCTTTTTCGACAGCGCGACTGATGTGAGTTAGGCTTTTATGTAGGTTAATTAAATAAATAAAAAAAATGTTAGTTTGTAAAATGTTTATTGATTGTTTGTGTTCAATAGCGGTTTGCAACATTCTCTTACTACTTAGAAAGTTATCAACAATAGGAATTGTGTCACTGCGGGGACAAGCACAAACTTCTATCAAAATAGTAACGTACCTAAACGGAATAGGACTAACAGGACAGACTTCCTTACAAAAGTTCAAAGAAGACGTCTAGACAAGGTAAGTAATTAGAAGAAAACTACAATTTACAGATCGATTGTAAATCAAATTCACAGTACGTCTGTACAATTAGCGAAATATAAATAAAATGTTGAATTATTTTATGATAGTAGATAACGCTAGTTGAAAACTAAACACTGTATGGGATTGACATCACTGAACTAGTCAGGTGGTCAGTCCAAACAAATAAAAAGGCGCGGTTGTAGAAAGAGATTCGTTACGAAACGTTTGTAGGCTAGGGGGCTTGGCCTGTTTATGCTATTGATAACGAAGGCTATAAAATATGTACAAATTAGAAACTAAATCCTATGTGTACTTATATGTATTCATAACCCAATATTTGAGGTAGGTTGATGCGCTCCTTAATTTTTATATAGTTCGTATTATTCTGTAATAGGTAAATTAAATCTAAACCAAAATATATACTATAATACCATAGCAAAGCTACTACTATTTTATTTAGTAGTAGCTTATATAGTAGTATAGTAAATTATATATAAAAATATGAGTATGTCTAAGGTAAGGTTAAATATAAACAAATATTTGCCAAGTGCGAATCCGACTTCCAAGCTTCCGTACCATCTTACAAGATTTAAATATACATATTACTATCGATCAAAAAAAGCCAAAAATACACATTTCTTTTTCTAGTAGGAAACCCTTTAATTTAAAATTTATTTTTACTATTTGCTGTTATAGCGGCAACAGATGAATTACGGATCATGAGATACAGCCCGCTGACAGACAGACACACGGACAGCGGAGGCTTCGTAATAGGGCCCTGCTGGTTACCCTTCGGGTACGGAATCCTAAAAAAGTACTTAGTTGTCCACTCACATCTGTATGGTTCTTTCTTCAAAGGACCATTAGCCACCTGCCTGGTTCTCGTATGACATGACCATACCTGGACTTAAAAGATTGTGACCTCTCTGATTTTGTTTCGGCAGATCGGGTGCTTCTTCTCAGTTTCATGTTTTTGTTGTGTTAAAGTGTTTTTTTAAAAAAACAACTTACAAAACAAATTTTATTTATCATTGACTGCCCTTCTTAGATTCTTATGTAAAAGTAAAGTAAAGTAAAGTTACAGCCTATATACACGTCCCACTGCTGGGCACAGGCCTCCGCTTATTCTGAGAGGGTTTTAGGGCAAGTAATTGTCCGCCGCGCTGCCCCAATACGTGTTGCCGAACTTCACATGTCTTCGAAATATATTTTTTTTATTTCTCTGACATGCAGGTTTCCTCACGATGTTTTCCTTCACCGCCGAGCACGTGGTAAATCAGCACTTAAAATTGCAATTAACAATTTCATTGGTGCCGGCGGGGATCGAACCCGGTTTGCTCGCGTACTGTGAAATTTAAAGCGCACGCTAACCATCCGAGCTACCACGGCTCTTAATTCTTATGTACTTACATAAATTACATTAGGTATATTAGTATATGAGATTCTTATAAGTAATCACGATTATCGAAAATCTAAGAATTACCTATTCTAATTAAATTTATAGATAATTTTAAGATTTTCGACAATCGTGCTTATCAATGAGATGTTTTCGTTAGTTGGCAAATTAAAGTAGTTAAGTACCTAATGTACTACCTGTATCGAAAGTTCATTATTATGTAACCTACCTGTTTTCAATTTTAACTACATGTGCTTCAACAAACTTATGGGTACATTTTACCAGCTATATTTATCCCGGCTTCAGCAAGTGGACACAAACCAAAGGAAGCAATTTTTCTAAATAAAGATGTAAATATTATGTAGGTATTACAATCATAAATAGATAGCAGCGGCTAACCTAGTGAGCATGAGCGCTGCGCCCCCCTCCATCCGTCCCACTGATCGGGGAAACAATTTGTAGCGAAAGGCAAGATGATTTACAACGAAACGGAGCGCGCGAAATTTTATAAACAGACCTTTGGGAGTCTGGATGTCATGAAAAATCTATTGAATGTATCTGTTCAAAATAAAATTATTTGCATTTTTGAACAACTAATCTACCCCTGTATGGTAACTGTTTTGCAATTTTCGTTCTTCTTATGGTATTTATTTCCGCCCAAAAATGTTTT